TATCAGTTCTAAACTGTTCTTCCTAGAGGTCCAGTAAGGATCATCTCTTATTGATCCAGTGTTACTACAGGAGGAAACCTAAACTAAACTAATTTTATTTACACTGGATAGCTCTATCAGTTCTAAACTGTTCTTCCTAGAGGTCCAGTAAGGATCATCTCTTATTGATCCAGTGTTACTACAGGAGAAAACCTAAACTAAACTAACTTTATTTATACTGGATAGCTCTATCAGTTCTAAACTGTTCTTCCCAGAGGTCCAGTAAGGATCATCTCTTATTGATCCAGTGTTACTACAGGAGGAAACCTAAACTAAACTAACTTTATTTATACTGGATAGCTCTATCAGTTCTAAACTGTTCTTCCTAGAGGTTCAGTAAGGATCATCTCTTATTGATCCAGTGTTACTACAGGAGGAAACCTACACTAAACTAACATTATTATACTGGATAGCTCCATCAGTTCTAAACTGTTCTTCCTAGAGGTCCAGTAAGGGTTTGTGGTTTTCATGTAGCCTACCAATTCTAGTATGTATATATAAACTTGAACAATACAAGTAAAACTTTAGCGATTCAAACAATGCTACCAATCCCTGTTGACTCGGTAGCTCAATAGGCAGAGCGGCGGTCTAGATACCCGAAGATGCGAGTTCAAATCCCGCTCGAGCCAACAAATTTTTCGTTGGTCGATTGCAGTATCAGATTAATATGAAACTGTCTCTATGTTGCAGTGAGAAATGGTCTGTTGGTACCAGGAAAGGAAAGTGGTGTTGGAGTTGCCCATGGTTCATCTCTTGGTGTAGGCATTTATTTATCCCCTGTTCCAGAATATAGTTTTGGGTGAGTGGGCTGCATACTGTACTGATCAATTCTAAACTGACGTCTCTTTAGGTCCAGTAAGGGTTATTCCTTATTGCTCAATTGTTAAATAATACAGAAAGAACCTAAACTTATTTGACTTTATTTATACTAGATTGTCCTGTCAGTTCTAAACTGTTCTTTTTGTGTTTTCACTGTATGTCGTTTTTTAAATTTTTCTTTGTAGTTACTGTGATATTGGAGGTAAAGTTCTAGTGTGTGCAGTTCTACCTGGTCGTGTGCACAACGTCGGAGGAGGTAAATCTTTTTCAAATTGTCCTCTCTATTTCATTCCTAAAGCTTTTTTTCTTATTCGTAAGTATTTTTATATTTAGGTCGTCGTCTTTTACATAAATACGACTGTATTTCTTATGGAGATGAGATGGTTATTTTTGATGCCAGGCATGTAAGTATGTTCGTACAGGTCCTGTCTGCCAGTAGTGTATATATAGCCCAATATATACACTACTAACCGACAAGTACTTAATGTCAACTTAATCCGGTCCATGACTTCAATGCCATTTGTAGGTTTTACCATGCTATGTAATTACGCTTGTGCCACGTGAAAGTATTGTTAGCGTGGACGAGAATCTCAGCAAGACTTTGGAGAGAGCAAGAGAAACGAAAGATGAACGATTGCAAAGAATAACTGCCAGGGTAATTGGAGAAAATTTGCATTTAGAACTGATAGAGCTATTAGGTTTCCTCCTGTAGTAACATTGGATCAATAAGAGATGATCCTTACTGGATCTCTAGGAAGAACAGTTTAGAACTGATAGAGCTATCCAGTATAAATAAAGTTAGTTTAGTTTAGGTTTCCTCCTGTAGTAACACTGGATCAATAAGAAATGATCCTTACTGGATCTCTAGGAAGAACAGTTTAGAACTGATAGAGCTATCCAGTATAAATAAAGTTAGTTTAGTTTAGGTTTCCTCCTGTAGTAACACTGGATCAATAAGAGATGATTCTTACTGGACCTCTAGGAAGAACAGTTTAGAACTGATAGAGCTATCCAGTATAAATAAAGTTAGTTTAAGGTTTCCTCCTGTAGTAACACTGGATCAATTAGAGATGATTCTTACTGCACCTCTAGGAACAACAGTTTAGAACTGATAGAGCTATCCAGTATATAGTATATGTGTTGACATTTTAGGCAAAGAAGTTCTTTCCCTATGGTTTTGGTCCTGGAAATAGAGTCCAAATTCTTGATGCTGCCGACTCTGACGATGATGAAGACGAAGGAGGAACGTACCAGGTACTGAATTGTAAGAAACAGGAGATGAAAGAAATGATACAGAAATGTGAACTACCTATACAGAAATTGGTTTCCTGTATAGACTGTTCACAGGGGGGAGGGAGGCGATGAAGGAGATTAGAGCAAGGGGAATATAATTACCATAACTATAAGTAAGAATTTATCTTGCAGAATGAAAGATATGAAGGGATACCAATTACAAGCGAGTACCAGAAGGACAAAAATTGCAATGATGATGAGATGTATTAATTCAAAACCACCATGCATCCGACGAAACCAGGTTTGTGCATCATTTTCATATCTTATCACGTTAAATATCATATTACATTGGACCGAAAATCCCCAGATATTTTCTTTAGATATTCATATATCATAATTGACAAACTTTCGGACATTCATTTTACAACTCCAACAATGTGCAGCAAAATTTTAATGAATTACAACGATAGAAAACTCATGCAACTACAGTTGGAAACAAAATAGAATTATTTACATACATAACATGCACTAAGTTCTTTGCGATAAAATAGTTTTGTTTGTGGAAACACCACGTAAATTCATTACTGCAAAGCTTTCGATCCGTAAGCCCAGATCTTCATCAGTGCTAATAATATGTATTATTGACATATTATTAGCACTGATGAAGATCCGGGCTTACGGATCGAAAGCCTTGCAGTAATAAATTTACGTGGTGTTTTCACAAACAAAACTATTATAACATGCACTGTTTAATAGGAAGGCCGACTCGGCCCTCTCTATAGATCTCATCATATATGATCTTTTTCCGTGATAGTAATTTGATAAAGAGCGTACTAGCACGCAGTTTCTTCGTCTCTTTTGGTTATGAGTAGAAATACCATTGTCAATGAACACGTTGTCATTTCCCTAATTCCCTTCTAAGAAGAATGGACGAACTTTATAGGTAGTAGAGGTGTGCATCGGATTGGACGTTTATAATACGACAATTGGCGAATGTTTAAAATCCAATCCGATCCGAAATTGTCGAATCCGATCCGAGTTTTGATAAAGAATTCCGATCCGATCCGAAGAATCCTTAAATAAAATAAATTTCTCATTCAAGTGGAAATATTTAACCAAATAAATATAAAAGCAAGAAATACATGTTAAGAAGCTGACAAAGTGACGTCCAATTGAAGTCCGATCCGATCCGACTACGAAACAACTTTATCAATCCGATCCAATCCGAAGTGAATATTTTTGTTCCGAATTCCGAACGAATTCGATTGGATTCGGATCGGATTTGCACACCTCTAATAAGTAGATCACATGTTCCGCAAAGCAAGATCTGCGTAACCTTAAAACATGTAATCCGCAACGTCGACAAAAACTTGAAACGACGTTCTACTAACAATACTCCCATAACCGTTCAAAAAATCCGACACCACTTTAAACTCATAAAATCCTGGTTCATCAAATACAACCCGGTTGTATACTATACCAGCTTGACCAATTTGATAGACACCAAAGAGATGGTTACTGTGTTGTACTGGGTAAAAGTATGTCGCACAGTAGCAAGCTAGGCTTTCGCTGCCTCCTGGGGGGATGTACGGTCGCAATTGTAGGAAATCTGTATTCACTGGGAGATATCGAGGGATACTGATGGATGTGTGCTGTAGCTTGGTGTATTGAGCGGGACACTGGTTGGCTTGGTAGAAGCATTGCATTGTACAGTATCTATAGACGAAAAAAAAATTTTTTTCAAATTTTATAGATATGGGTTTACAATTTTATTTCAATTCTGAGCATGCAAGGAAAATACAATTAGTTTGGTGAATATTAGTCCTTCTAACCGATAAAAATTAAATTTGCATGCCGTACGAAAATATTCAATACGCATGGCAATGAAACTAAAAGTAAAAAAAATATATAATGGTTATTTATAGAATGCAAAAAGCAGGGATACTAGTATAGCTTAACTATATATAAGCGCCCTGGCAAAAACCATTGACGAAAGCCCAAAGCTCGTACATTAAGGCAGCCCGATTCAAATGTTACAAGCTCTATCAGTATGCAATTAAATTCGAAAACATTTAAGTTAGTGTGAAGATGGTCATTTCAACATAGCCAAACATTAATACAGCGTAATTTAAATTTTCAGTCGCCTACCCATCAGTGGTTGGATGATATCCTTGTGGACAGGAAACATTCAGGCAATGATATTTTCCCAGAGTATTGAAGCATTCCCGTGTTCCACACACTTGCTGCCCTGTCAAGCACTCGTTAATGTCTAAGGAACACAGATAATTGCAACATTAGGATAAATTGACACAATTGGTGCCTTTCATTAAATTCTTTCTGGGACTGGGTATTCTTTATTTGAAACAGTAATTAGATGGCATGACTGACGAAGCTATCAGTATAAATAAAGTAAACTTAGTTGGATTTTATATAATTATGCAGATTTGACATAAGATTTCAGTTAGAAAATTTCCAGACAGTATTTTAAATATGTTCATTGGTCAAAACTGTAAACAATGTTAACCAATGTTATATAAGACTAGTATGGAATTGCAAAATTTATAACAAACAATCTTAGTTTTACAAAAATATTAATTAACTTATTAATTTTGATTATAAATTTTGAACATTTATACATAAAAACGTTGTACATAAATTAATTTTTTATCACAAATCGATGTGAATAATATATTTATAAAATGGTTGATACCTATGCAGGAAACCTCGTCCCAATGTAACCTGTATCCTGAAGGACACTGGCATCGTCCAGTCTCTGTATTACACTGATATTGACATCTCCCGTAACCTCGTAATGGACACGCGGATATACCTGTAGAAGTAGTGGTTAGTACATGAGTTTCATTCATGCAATATGCAGTTGTCTGATTATAATTTCACATCTACGAAGGGAAGGGAAATTTTCCTTGCACGAATTTTCTAAGTTCGGAGCTTTGTTTTGTTTTACGATGTATAGAAGCTGTGCAGGAATATTTTCCATACATTTCTGTATATTCTATGTGGTTGCATAGAATTTTTTCAATCTCCAGTCTCCACTCTTTGCATGAATTTGGGATTCCCCCTCCCAGAATATCTAGTGGTCCACCTCTAATAGAGCTATCCAGTTAGTTTAGTTTTCATGATATATTTCTTACGTGAGCAAGATATGCCATCATTTGCCAGTCGTGTTGCTCGCGGACACAAACATTGGAATCCACCAACTGTATTTTCACACATATGTTCACATCTCTGAGGTTGTTCCAAACATTCGTCCACGTCTAAACACACAAGAGTCCAGTGATGCAATCATTTTAGTTATAGACAAACAAACAAACAAACAAACAAACAAACAGACAGACAGACAGACAGACAGACAGACAGACAGACAGACAGACAAACAGACAAACAAACAAACAAACAAACAAACAAACAAACAAACAAACAAACAAACAAACAAACAAACAAACAAACAAACAAACAAACAAACAAACAAACAAACAAACAAACAAACAAACAAAACAAACAAACAAACAAACAAACAAACAAACAAACAAACAAACAAAACAAACAAACAAACAAACAAACAAACAAACAAACAAACAAACAAACAAACAAACAAACAAACAAACAAACAAACAAACAAACAAACAAACAAACAAACAAACAAACAAACAAACAAACAAACAAACAAACAAACAAACAAACAGACAAACAGACAAACAGACAAACAGACAAACAGACAAACAGACAAACAGACAAACAGACAAACAGACAAACAGACAAACAGACAGACAGACAGACAGACAGACAGACAGACAGACAGACAGACAGACAGACAGACAGACAGACAGACAGACAGACAGACAGACAGACAGACAGACAGACAGACAGACAGACAGACAGACAGACAGACAGACAGACAGACAGACAGACAGACAAACGAACAGACAAACGAACAGACAAACGAACGAACAGACAAACGAACAGACAGAAGAATAGATGGACAATTGCTCAATAGACGCGGTTCACTACAGATCATCTTACCTATGCAGTAACCATTCTCATCACGTTTAAATCCACTTGAACATTTTTCTTGACATCGATAACTCCCTTGAATATTGAAGCAATCTTTCTCACCACAAATCGTGGGGTATTGAGAACACTCATTGATGTCTGGAAACGGAAAATGACTATTAAACTACAGCTAAACTAACTTTATTTATGCTGGATAGCTTTATCAGTTCTAAACTGGAGGTCCAGTAAAAATCATCTCTTATAAAACTAAACTAACTTTATTTATACAGGATAGCTCTATCAGTTCTAAACTGTTCTTCCTCGAGGTCATCCATTAGTACAGCCTTAATGTGTGGATGGAACAGGCAAATTATCCTACACAGATGTTTATACTGTACAGACCTTTACAATAACTATTGTCATCACGTGTGTATCCTTGCAAACATTTCTTCTGGCAACGATAACTTCCTTGGATATTGAAACATTTTTGATCGCCACAAATTGTGGGATTCTCGGAACACTCATTCACATCTAAAAATGAAGTAAAACGTTCCTAAGGGTCTAGCTAGATCCCACTTTCCCCCTGCTGATCTGCCAAATGATGTCCTTACCTTTGCATGAACCATCTGGATCTCGTGAAAACCCACGTGAACATTTCATCTGACAACGATACCTCCCTGGGATATTGATGCATTCTTGATTACCACAAATTGTAGGATTCTCAAAACATTCATTCACATCTAGAAATCAAATAAAATGTTCTTCAGAGTCCTGCACCTTTGAAAGATCTGTAGATGGAAATCTCGAGTGTAAATTGTATACCTTTATTTAGACCTAACGAGGAACAGCTGCGAAAAATACAACTATAGGTCCCTGGCAGGAATTGAACCTGCGGCCCTGCGATTCCGGTGCAGCGCTCTAACCAACTGAACTACAGAGACACAGTTGTCGTGCTCTAACCAACTGAGCTACAGAGACACAGTTGTCGAGCTCTAACCAACTGAACTACAGAGACACAGTTGTCGTGCTCTAACCAACTGAGCTACAGAGACACAGTTGTCGTGCTCTAACCAACTGAGCTACAGAGACACAGTTGTCGTGCTCTAACCAACTGAGCTACAGAGAGACAGTTGTCGTGCTCTAACCAACTGAGCTACAGAGAGACAGTTGTCGTGCTCTAACCAACTGAGCTACAGAGAGACAGTTGTCGAGCTCTAACCAACTGAGCTACAGAGAGACAGTTGTCGTGCTCTAACCAACTGAGCTACAGAGACACAGTTGTCGTGCTCTAACCAACTGAGCTACAGAGAGACAGTTGTCGTGCTCTAACCAACTGAGCTACAGAGACACAGTTGTCGTGCTCTAACCAACTGAGCTACAGAGAGACAGTTGTCGTGCTCTAACCAACTGAGCTACAGAGAGACAGTTGTCGTGCTCTAACCAACTGAGCTACAGAGAGACAGTTGTCGTGCTCTAACCAACTGAGCTACAGAGAGACAGGTGTCGAGCTCTAACTACAAGTTTTCCCACTTTCCTCCAAGGTCAACTATTTTATTATATGAGTATTGAATTTTATACGCGATAAAGTTGTCGAATAAAAACCATATGCCTAAAATGTCTGAGGATCTCATTGGACATACGACATTCGCCACTAGTGAAGAACGTCGTATTAGCCTTCTCATTGGACGTACGGAATTTGTCACTAGTGAAAAATTTCGTATTTACTTTTCCCGCCGCGCCACTGGCGTACAAGAAAACAAAAAATCAGTTTTTTTAGATGTCCGTTCGACTTTTGATTTGAAATGGCTTCACGCTTCGCAGAGACACCATCCGTAAGCGAATTCATTGAACAACAGGAGAATAATAATACAAGAATTTTAAAGCGAAATAATTCATTTGTTGTAGCTATTGTTGTACTTTTTGATGCATGTTATATATGTTTGAAACGTTTGGTTTGAATGTGTCTATCGTTCAGCACTTAAATTTCACTCTAATATATAATAACTCATATAATAAACAAATTACTTCATGGTTGATTCGCTTGTACGATTTTTATTATGCACTCGTTGCGAAAAATTCCTATAAACTCACTCGTTCGTTTATAGGAATTTTTCGCAACTCGTGCATAAAAATCGTACGCGCTCATCAACCATGAAGTAATCTCTATTTATTACCAACTGTACCTCGACAATCACCATGATCCACTCGAGTGAACCCACTTGAACATTTTTTCAGACAGCGATAACTTCCTTCGGTGTTGAAACAATCTTTGCTTCCACAAATCGATGTGTATTTAGAACATTCATCTGTGTCTAACAAAATGGAAAAGTGAACATGCATGTTAATCGCATCCTGTCAGGGACGTTGGATGGATGTCGCGAAAAATGAAATCACACTCGACAGACTGATGAACAAACATATATATTGACAGACTGGGTTCAAACCTTTACAAACACCATGTTCATCACGTGAAAAACCATGACGCGAACATTCTTCCTGGCAACGGTAACTTCCGTTTGTGTTAATACATTCTTGACTTGCGCAGATGGGTGGATTTTGAGAGCATTCATCAATGTCTAGTAACGAAATGTTGTATAAATTTAGCGGCGGTAGAAGCCACCCTTATTGCTCCAGTCTGCAGTGTTAGATTGGGCCAAGCCTAGAAACACTTCTCACGCGCAAATTGAGTCTCGCTCGCAGAGCTAAAAGACACATGTAATATTAACCACTGTGACACCATGATATCAGTACAAATACGATGCTAACCTCTGCATTCATTTCCACGTCCTTCAAAACCTTTGGGACAAATCTTCTCACAACGATAACTTCCACGGGTGTTCAGACATCCGCGATCTCTACAGATACCTTCATGTCGTTCGCATTCATTGACATCTGAAAATATGGCCAGAATCAGATTTACATAAACTTTAAGTTTTCACACCAAATATCACTCGTTTATTTTAAATTGTTGAAGAATACGAATGTTCTCATCAAGACGTTTCACAAGCCATTTATATCCGATACAACACGGTCGCTCATGTTGTAAATAGTACTTTAATTTAATTTAATGAGAAAAGAGTTTCTTACCAATACAAATGGCTTCTCTGGTCATTTCATATCCCCGTGAACATTTCGTTACACAAGTGAAGCCATATGGTAGATCCAGACACACTTCTTCAGAATCACAGTCATGGATAGCGCGTGCGCATTCGTTTACCTCTGAGCATTTTAACATAGGAAGAGATAAGAAATGTGGACAATTAAACTGACAAACAATTAAATGGATAACTCTATCAGTTCAGTGAAAGTCATCTCTTATTGATCCAGTGTTACTACAGAGGAAACCTAAACTAAACTAACTTCATTTATGCTAGATAGCTCTATCAGTTCTATAAACTGTTCTCGCTAGAGATCCAGTGAAAGTCATCTCTTATTGATCTAGTGTTACTACAGGAGGAAACCTAAACTAAACTAACTTTATTTATACTGGATAGCTCTATCAGTTCTAAACTGTTCTTCTTAGAGTTTCAGTGAAAATCATCTCTTATTGATCCAGTGTTACTACAGAGGAAACCTAAACTAAACTAACTTTATTTATACTGGATAGCTCTATCAGTTCTAAGCTGTTCTTCTTAGAGTTTCAGTGAAAATCATCTCTTATTGATCCAGTGTTACTACAGAGGAAACCTAAACTAAACTAACTTTATTTATACTGGATAGCTCTATCAGTTCTAAACTGTTCTCCCTAGAGGTCCAGTAAGGATCATCTCTTATTGATCGAGTGTTACTACAGGAGGAAACCTAAACTAAACTAACTTTATTATACTGGTTAGCTCTATCAGTTCTAAAGTGTTATTCTTAGAGGTCCAGTAAGGATCATCCCTTATAGGTCGTGGCAATAATAAGAAAGCTTCAGATTGATAAGGATACAACTAGCTGAAAAATACAAGGAGAACTTCGACATTTCGAGCGAAGGCCATTCGTCGGGAAGTTCGTGAAAAGTCGAAGTTCTCCTTGTATTTATCAGGCAGTCGCATCCCTGTGAATCCGAAGCTTTCTAATTTTTCCATAGTTTAACCATGGATAACCATGGATAATAAAAACACAGAAATGATAGTGTTTTTATTATCCATGGTTTAACCATAGACAATCCAGAAGACTTGTGAACGTGTTAAGCATTGTACCTGGTATGACCACCACAGTATGGTTGCCTTTCACTTCTTCCCATCGATCACTGATCGCTTCAACGCGTAACGTATGCCGTCCATTGCTACGCACCGTGATACTCCAGTTTCCAGGTCTAGGATTCCTGACAAGCACAGACACCACTGAGTTCAGGTTTAATAACACATCGACATTTTCATCCGTCAGGAACACCAATTCACCCGTACTATCCGTAATAATCACCTCAACATGCTCACCACTGCCCGTAATTATGACCTCCCTGATATTCGGGTCTATTTTGACAATATATGTACGCTCCCCCCTGGAGATTTTATCAACAGAGTAAATGTTTTTGCGGTCAGGATTTATAGATATTTTAACAAACTCCCAAATTGTTTCAACTTCGGATTTGTTTAACTTTACAATTTGCCCAGAGGAAAGGATTGCAATTTTTTCATAAGTGTTTTTGTCTTTGAAGTTTTTTTCCAGTCCACAATTTCCAGTCAAAATGAAATTCACCCTAATATTCTTTTGTTTAATAAGTCGTATAACTTCGGGCAGCATTCGGTGGTCTTTCGCCTCGGCGTCGGTGAAAACGTAAACGACCGAGCCAGGGAGACTGAGTTCTAGCGCTAGCTTGATCGCTGTGACGCTCATTTCGGGACAATCTTTTCCGCCTCGAACGTAAATGTCGTTTAATGCCTTCACGAATTTTGCTGGGTCTTTAGTTTGGAACGCTGGACCCACGTCTGTAAGATTGTAAAATAGAAATAAGTTTCAGTCATTATTTTCTTCGTTGCTTTGGGGCCCCCTAATTTTAAGTTGGGGGGTCCTGGGGCAAAGTGCACCCCCCTCCCGCCCGTTGGACCTAGGTGGATGTGGTGTTTGATAGAGTCAAACTGGAAGCACTTTCGCATGCAGCGCGAAATTATGATCTCATAAGCTAAAAGGCGAAATTATGATCTCAGAGAAAAAAAGCGAAATTATGATCTCATAAGCTAAAAGGCGAAATTATGATCTCATAAGCTAAAAGGCGAAATTATGATCTCATAAGCTAAAAGGCGAAATTATGATCTCATAAGCTAAAAGGCGAAATTATGATCTCAGAGATATAAAGCGAAATTATGATCTCAGAGATATAAAGCGAAATTATGATCTCAGAGATATAAAGCACATGCATTAATTAAATCCTCAAATTTAACCATTTCAACACATGCAAAGCATTACTGCAAAGTGTAAAATTGAAATTTAATTTCTCTGTAGTTTTGAAAGTAAACAAAAAGTCGTAGCCCATGCAGTGTTGGTATGAATTTATAATAAGTATACCAGTCTTTTTTTTAATTTATGTTTACTCAGATAACAATACTCGCCGTTGATTTCAGCCAACTTCAAATGTATATCATGGTTTCTTTTTGCTCTAAAGGCCGATTTATACCGTTTCAATTAAGCACACGACTCACTTGTTGTAGGTGAGTTGTGTGCTTGATTTACACAGTACAACTCAAGTTGTAAGCAGGTTGCATGCGACAGTTTTAGGCAAAAGTTGTGTTGTGTAAATCGACCGTAATGTGGGCAGATATAATTTTCTCATAATCTCATGCAGTGTGACCTTTCAATGCAATTAGGGTAATGAGCACCTACGATATAGTAGTTAATGAGCACTGCTTGCCTGATGACCTTGTGTAATTCTCTGGTCAGTAAGAATCATTGGCGCAAAATATGCAAACCATGTTCAATTTTGTAACATCGAGCGCAACGTTTGAATTTAACCTAGGTTCGTTTTCATGGCGATAACTGATAAAATTTGTTTTGTGGACTAAATCTCTACGTTTATTGATCTAGAAAATCCATCTGTAAGCTGGAAACTGGGCTTATGAATCGACCGTTTGCAAGATAAGTGAATTGGACATTTTCCACAAAATGGTGTATATTTCACATGTTTAAATTATTATTTATACAAATGTGAAAATGAGTGTGTTAATTTTATCACTGAGATAGTGGAACGAGTCAAGCCGTGAAAAGCGTCTTCCATATTTAGCTTGGGGCTTCAATGTCAAATTGTCAATATCAATACCGATAAAATCTTTATATGGTATTTCAGCGCAATGTTAAGAGGCGGTATTTGGGGGAGGTTTTAGCCTTCTAGGTTAATGGATTATGCCTTAAATATTTATCGGACTATCAACCTAATTGCGTACTAAACTCATATGAGCATATCTGTTCCTAATAAAATACTTGGTGTTAATCTTACGTCGAATCTTACAGTATTAAATCTACGAGGCCAGACATAAGTTACTTAAGTTGTACTGATAATCAGTGAAACATGTTTTACGGCTGGCACCGTTGTCTACAAGTTATTTCAACCGTCCGTTTTTGCGTGGAAACTGCGCTGTTGAAAGGCAAATTCTGGATTTAGACTTACGTACAAATGTACACACATCTTTCATGACTTTGAATGAAACTTCAATTGTGTGCATAGTTTTGCGCATTAGTACATTAAACCACAGGCCATGACAAAATACCTTGTCATCACAGTGTGTTAATTGAAAGGCCGTATATAACTTCCCTACATGTTCATTCTACCATCCCTATACCAAAAGCTTACCTGGGTCCCTGAATGGTACCAGAATGTAATTCGTTACAGGTGAAGTACCATTCTGGATGGTACTGTTGAATATCCTGGTCGCTCCAGCTCTGACGTGAACTAAGTCATCATACATGCTCCCTGTGCGGTCAAACACAAATGCCAAAGAAACACGACTATTATTTCTCCATATTTCACTAACCACGGATGTGTTCTCTAACGCCTGCCTAGTGTATTCACTACAGCGGACCTTGTACCAACTTAGCACGAATACAAGTCGAAAGACTATTCCTAAAATCCGCGGCTTGTAATTCATTTTGTCGTTAATAGTAAGTGTTTCATGTTATCATGTACAAGATGCCTTTTTCACAGCACGGCTCCGCTGTTTATGAGCTATCTTTTTGCCCTTGGCTTGGCTATCAAGTTTCTGTTACGATTGAGAAACGATTGTGAATATATGTTTGTTTATTTTAGCGTGATTTATGCGCTCTTGTTTCTACTAAACGTTTACGTGGGAATCTAGTATGGGATGTATTCTTCAAAAAATTGCTGACGAAATATAAGTGTGTGTTACGTTTTCACAGCCAAATGATATTGGGTGAAGATCGGGTTGAAGCGAGGTGAATGCTTATGGTCCCATAAAAATAATTAACTCTTGACAGAAGTGGTTTATTAGATTAAGACCAATCCGCTGTTTCCTTCAAGTGTGTGTTAGAATGAATCCAGAAGGCTCTTTTTCTGTTTTGAAAGAAATATGGTGTCCGTATATTAGCCTTTCATGAGCTGGGCTTGTGCTACATTTTCGCCCGATGTGAGGCGTCTACATTCGCAGGCTACTTGTAGGGTTTCAACTACATGAAAAATACAAGGAGAACGTTTCGTTCGAAGGCCCTTTGGCGGGAATTTAGTAGCGGGAAAATAATACCAGCTGATAAGGTTAAAACATGCGGAATGCTCTTGACAATGGAAAGATTATTTGAATAATTTGCGACTGTTCATCGTTCGATGCGAACAACGGTAGTTGGAAACGTCACGTAGCCACCTTAATGAAACAGCAATGCGTAATGCGCATGTGCATTACAACAAATCTATTTATAAATGGCCGGTGCGTAGGGGCAGAATTTGCATTTTATTTCAATTTTAATTTCAAATTTCTTCCTCGAAATTATAACTTCTACGTGGCTAAGCTCCAATGGTTCTGCGCCATTTGCAATAAAGGCTTTCTCCTTTGGTATGAAATACTGTTTACTTTAAAACATCGTGAATATGTTTTGTTCGAAGTTTGCATTGTTGGCACCTGTTGTGCTACTTTTGCTGAGTTTGAAAGCCGACGGTAAGAGAAAAGGACTCTATCTAAAAGCTCTAGCTAGACGTTATCTAACCTATCTTCTTATACAATACAGTCTGTGAGCTGGGCCTAATATTTCACACTTTTAGACAAGTTTTAATTTAATTTATGGCAGTTTATTTTTAACTTTGCTTAGCAACTTAGCTTCAAAATAATATTTACTTGAAGAGTTAGTGGATAGAAACGATATTATACACGAATTTGTTGTTATTCTTGCTTTTATTAAACAAAAGCGTTTGATTCGCTTCACTTGTGTTAGAATACAATTTTGGTGGACATGTTTGTGTTTGAATTGTTTGAACATAATAAAGTGTTTTATATTGTTGCCATATGTATTTGATGTTTTATGTAATATATCTTGGAAGTTGCTCTATATATAGTTTTGATAATTGCCAAAATTCGTATTCTAAATTGTTTTTGTTCAACCTTGTAACAGTTGTTCTGGAACGATAATTACGAGTGTTAACGAGAAAAAACATGCGTAACCTTCAATGACGCATAAAATTCAGCTGTTTACACGCCACATTTTTAAAACTATGAAGTAGACATCATATAATAGCGCTTTCCTCATTAATATTTGTTGTAACCTGAAACTAGCCTCGGGAAATTGCAATGTGTTGGGACGAAATAATGGGAAGGCAAACGAAAGCTATAGTTTCAACTTTCATGTTAATTTTTTTGGCATGCACCTTCGGAAATCGTGACTAGTAAACATTGTTTGTGTCGACTGCGAGCGGTCCCTCGGGGTGGGGGGGGTGGGGGGTGATGACAACACATTAAGAAACAAATTATGCATTGCCAACACATTTGTACCATCGGTCGAAATCGATATGTTGCTCAATCGGATCTGATACGTAATAATTGTGCTATAAATTCCAAACTTGAATGATGATTTTATAAATAAACATGACATCACTTAAATGAGCGGTTCCTGTTGGATATATTTAATTGGATACATCTGATGTTTACGCAAAGGCAGAGCCAACTTGGCAAGTGTGAGAGGTGGGCATATTTTGTTTCGTGAATCGTGATGTGTTGTCAGCAGATCCTCCTTTCCTCTTGCACAGCCGGGAATCTGCTCGCATTCCATTGTTCCTTAGAGCAATGTTTCCTTCGTTCCTCCTAAATCTATACTTACATTTACTCATGAGCCAGAAAACAGATGTTAACATATGCATAATAACAAATTTGTCTACTGTAGCGGAAATAGTAAAACCAGCTACCAACATTACGGTCACCACGAATGCAGCAACAACTGTAGCGACAACTGCAGCGACAACTGGTGCCACTGGTATCCAAGCCAATGTATCAACAACACATCCATCAACAGTGTCGACATCTCCTAAATATGTTGCACCTCATTTTGGTGGAACGTTGAAACGTCTTGTTTACGTGGTAAGTATCAATATATTTTATACCAGTTGGAGATCTTACGTTTTGCCATGCAAGGAGAGAAACATATGCTATTATAACATGCCATCAAATGCACCACACTAGCATGCAATATTTTGTTTTCTTTAATTCTATAATATATTTATTTATAATTTTCAGACGTTAGTTGTGTCTGCGGTTATCGGTTTCTACTTTTTGGTGAAATTTTGTCGAGCAGGAAGACGCAAACCCAGAAAGTAAGTTGTAATGTGTTCACCATGAACCCTTTTAACCCTTACCTTACATTAACCTGCCAAGTTGCATTGCTCCCCTACTTGCGACAAACTTATTGTTTCGATACAAAAATACACCCAGAAGAAGTATGTGAATTTATCAATTTATTTTCAGTCTACACATGCTCACCTGTACGTTTCAGTATGGTACAGGCGAGGTGGAAAATGGCCTTTAAATTTTGTCTGAATGTCCAATGCAAAGGTATTAATTCTGTCATTGACTGCGACATTTGCATTATTAAGATATGGTGTTGTAAAGACACCAGGTGACATGGAAATGAGGCCATTGGAAAGTGATGATGACGATGACGATGAAGATGTCACAATGTTCAACAGAAAAAACTGAAGTCCAAGACTACAAGATGTAAATATATGATTCTGAAAATGATCTAGTTTACTACACTGTTGAAATTTCATGCTGAACGCAATGACTATTGCTAAAGCACAATCAAAAGTTTAAAATTAGATGTTAGAAAAGTTTGGAGCTTTATTTTCATAAATTTCTAAAACTCTTATAACACATTCATCAGGCCCATTTTAGATGCACTGCAATTATATTTGAGAACTTGTTCCCCATCAGGATCCTTGTTCCATACCTTGTTTTGGGCCTGGGATTTGTGATTGTTCAATGTATTTGTGCTTTAGTTGTATTTAATGTACTGTTAAGTAGTTGTTTAATTTATTCTGCATACATACTTGACATTAGCAAGCTTTTAAAAGCCACACTTTTGTCAACACGGACGTCAGATTGCCGAGGGTGGAGTGGATTAAAAACTGTGTTTGTATCAGTTTGTAGTAATCTTCAACACATGTGACAAAACAAATGCAAATTAAATGCTGTCAACTTTAGCCTGCGAACAGGCTCTCAAGCTGAATTGAGAGCCTGCATCGATGACTAATAAATTTGAATATCTGCTCCGTAACGTTCGTTTTTCCAAATATGGAATGTCTATCCTTATATGGTGTTGTTTACAACTTTCGTGCAAACTAAGTTTAGACCATGCAAACTAAATTTAGACCGTACAGTTTATACTGTTTTTCGAAATATAAGATATTGAAGCAAAAGTTTAAATGTTTTAAATTCTGTTTTCTCGAAACAGAACATTTCGTGCTTTGAGATAAGATGGCCAAGACCAATTTGATCAGTTAATGTGTTTTTTATGCATAGTGCTAGCAGTTGACATATATAGAGCTCAGCGGAATAATATAAATTATAGCATCTGACCAATGAGAATTTCGCGTCACAGTTTGAGACGCAGATATTCAGCTTGAGAGCCTGTTCGCAGGCTATGTCAACTTCAGTTATACCATTATAGACCTTTCCGGTAATTACGTCACAACTACACTGTTTTCAACATACGGACGACCTTAAATGGAATAGATTTCAAGTTTGTTTCTCACAGGCTGTGATCAGAGAAGCAGAACATCCTTTGTCAACACATGCATAAAAAAGAATTTTGGATTTTGACTATTAAATGTGGAAATAAGCTTATTTCCACATTTTTTTGTCAAAATCCAAAATTCTTTTTAACGCGTGTGTTGAAGAAGGATGTTGTGCTTCTCTGACCACAGCCCGTGAGAAACAAACTTAAAATATATTCCATTTAAGGTGGTCCTAAGTTGAAAACAGTGTTAGTCGTGTTCACTTGACAAAAGTGTCGCTTGCCTATTGTCGATTTCAGATTACTTTTCAGAGCGCAGTTCCCAAGTTTCCCAATTACGTTTCCAAATTCGGAAGTTGGGCAGGAACTTTGCAACGAAGTTCGCAAGTTCATTTCAAAGTTTGAACTTCGATTGTCAACAAATGTAAAAATTTCATTTATAAATTTATTTAAAAAGGCATTTTCGTCTTGGGAGACCACTGGACCAATACTTTACTGCAGTACACGGGCAAAAAAACGCTCAGGTTGATGCAATATTGACGAAAACAGGATTGAACAATGCTTTGCTGCCCACATTGTTCACAGTTGTCAACAGTATTGAACAATGTTGTTACACCCGATTCAGGCTCAACAATATTGTTCAATATTGTTGACAAGTGTTAACAATGTGGGCAGCAAAACATTGTTCGGCAGGCTTGGCGTTTTTTGCTGTGTAATATGTGCATAGGGTGTCTTATACAGTAATTTCAACTCCAACTATGAACATTTGTTTACAATCAAAGTTCGAACTTTGAAATGAACTTGCGAACTTCGTTGCGAAGTTCACGCCCAGAAAGTTCACGCCCAACTTCCGAACTTGACAACGTAATTGGCAAGTTTTTGGGAACAGCGTGTTGAAAAGTTACCTGAAATCGACAATAACTCACAAATAAATCTTGAGCAAGGTCTGTGCACATCCTTGGTCCAGAGTGTTGTGATGTTTCGTGTAATAGAAAATAAACCTACACAGAAAACTTGCAGTAATTTTATTTAGCAAATAGGCATATATACACATGTTTATAAGATTTCAACTGTAATAATTCCACGCTACTGTTTTGAATCCTGTGTCGACTCCCAGTCTATATCAAACTTGCTGTTTTTTAGAGTAAAAACACTGAGCTTACTTCCACCAAAGCGATCAGGCTCGTCCCAGGCTGACGAGCAATCAAACCTGTTAAAATAGCTGATCTGTTTTGCCTTTCTACGGAGGGCCTTCATCCTTCTATACCGTCTCACAAATAGACACAACGCTATACAAATGATTATAAAAAGTAATACCCCTCCCCCAGCAATCAAGCCAACATACAATTTTGTCTGTTTTGTATTGTCAGACTTGTCACTTTCTGTAGTTGTTCTCAAAGTTGGCTTTGCTTTTGAGCTTGTTGTTACTGGCGTAACCGTTGCGCAACCCAGAGTTGTAATAAACGCAGATCCTTGCGTCGTGCATATTACAGCTACTAAATTTTCATTATACATATACGTTGCGTTGTGAGTCCTTTTTTCGTGACGCGCAATGATCCAAGTTGTTGTCGCATTCAATGCTAATGTTGGTGCGCTACCCAAATGACTTGTTTCCGCAACAAGTGTGTTATTGCGCAACAATGGTGTTGCGCTAAAGTGCTTCAGAGGCGTGAGTTTACTTGTCGCAACCAAACTCCCTGCATGGCGTGTCCCCACTACTGTCGGAGTTATGAAAATCGTCGAGCAATTCACCACCACGCTCTGAGGACAAGAATTCCAAACTTCTGTCGCACTTCGCGAGGGTGTAATGGGATTTTGTACAGTTCTTGTGAGCGGTGGCGTGATCAGATCAGAAGCTATGACAGTCTTGCGATAATATGTCGAGAATGCGGTAGTGGAATTCTCTAAAATATTTCGCCTCTTCCTCACAAGGATTTTACCAAACACTCCATCTTTCCTGCGCGATGATTCGTCCCTTTCCTCCCGTCCGATCGAGCCATCCCGTTCACTACAAATAAAAACATTCGAATATTTTGTGCCTAATTTAGTTCGCCATCCCAGAGCTTCAGCATTAAAACCATTTGATCTTCTCGAGGCCATAAAAATCGCATTCCTAATGAGGCCTGAGCTATTTATAAAATATACAGGATGTTTTGTAGAAATTTTTCTGAATTTTATTGAAGTACCATTTATAGGGTGTCTTTCTTCTTCATTAGGGAAAATACAATGAATTTCGGATCCAGAATATTTGACGCGAGAAATGTCGCAATTTCGGCTTGTTAAGTGTACATAAACATAATTTCTTGTGGTATTCAATATTGTTAGTACACATCGCTTTCCTCTAGCCTGTCCAATCATTGCTTTTATCCAACATTTTAAATCGGAGGTCTTTTTCACAACGTTCGTTCCAAGCCATGGATCGTGTTTAGACACGGCGCGACAAATAAAACTCTTGTTGCCGACATGAAAATTCAAACAAAGCCCATTTGGAGGCCATTTGGAAAGAACAAATATTATTACCGTCCAAGAAGTCACGTTCATATTAACAACTTGATACTACCCATGGAAACTCGAAGTCGTTCACCTGATCCCTGCTCGCAGACGCGTCCAAATTGCGCGGTGCTCCATAGATTATGGCTAAAACTATTAATTTCGATACAAAACCTGCCAAAATGGTTTAGAATATTTTACAAATGATAATTCTTATATCGGATCGAATTACTTGACGGTGGCTTAATTAATAAATCCAAAATTCGGAAATACGATTAATTGCAGTATAGGTTTACCAACCAGGAAATAGTTATGCCAATGTGAGCTTGTTTTTGGTGAAAGTATTACGAATGTTACATTTTTGTGTTTTTATCGTACGAGTTTATGAATGCATACAACCTGTAATTTATTCCGAACAACTGGGCCTGCTGCTGTGAATTTATCTTCAAATGTCAACAAAACCGCACGATTTCGATCCTAGTTGATATATGCGTGCATTTTTTATTAATAAAAAAGAAACTCGTCCTCCCCCCCCTCCCCTCCCCCCGTTGGCTCAATAGGTCAATGGTAGAGTGCGAAGAAGCGAGTTCCAATCCTGCTTGTGACAACGAATTTCTTTTCATTCTTGATGATGACTGAAACCTAGTCGAAACGTTGATTTAAATTTTCTCAAAGATAAGACGTCATCTCTCAATTTTGTAATTTTCCACCAAATACAAGATACCACATAGACTGAAAAGAAAAGAATGTTATTTTCTCACTCTGATACTCTGCAGGTTGACCACCATCTGCTACAGGATGGTGCCGACGAAGATTTGCAAAATAATAGATTGAACAAGCGGTTTATAACCATATATGTGGCAAAACCATCTTCCTATCTTACCTAGATTGATGTTAAATACCAAATTCGTCAGCGGTAAGCATTGTGGGCACTCAATAAGTTGACATAACATGCACCTGAGACTGTTTAGAAGAAAAAAACACCCAAAATGGCGGCGACTGGGAGTACAATAAATTCAGATTCGCATGCGAAACCTAAGTCAAGAACGGCCGTAAACGGACGTTTTGCATTTGAAGACTTGAGAGAAATTACACCCGAGACTTTGGAATTTGGAATTGGCGCCCCTTCTTTCGCAATGATGGCCAAATTAAAGCCATTGTTAGCCGAAGCGACCAAACAACGTATGGTGTGTTACATTTTGTACTTTATTAGTTTAATTTAAGTTGTTTGTTGTTGAAGTGCTGCTTATGCATTTATTTGTGGAGAAATGTGTCGAGTTAGCTAGGCAGATATTATATTTGATACCAACTATTGTTAAATGCTATTTTAGGCGTCGTAGTTCATAAAGACAGGGTCAAATATTAGTATGTGGGCCAGGGTGCATTCGGTGTAGTGAGTCTAATAGGAAGATCTTCGGTGTAGAGTTACAGTAAGCCTTGGCGTACTGGTGGACAATCATCTTTCTAGGCATAGTGGCGTATGCTGTTTTTAACTTGGCGGCGCATAATTACTAACTAAATACATCAAAAGTTGTAACAGTGGAATTTTTGCATAACTAACTCATACACTCTGGCGTGGGTGAGAGTCTGCAGAATGGGTCAGGGTGGGATGTTGGAGTAGCGTTGCGACTGCTTTGGCGTATCTTCGGCGTTTTGCACGCTTAATATCTCGGTTGCACGACACAAACTTTCCACACTGGGATATGGCAATAAACTGTAATTCTGTAAATACCAGTATTGAATCTAATTGTTCTAAATGTTGAAAGGATTATGAAGAATTTGGTTACATGTTTCAATATGGAGCATTACGAGGAGATCACGTGTTTGTGCAAGAGCTTGCTAAGTTTCTCTCTCAAAGATACCAAGATCCTGTGAACAGGTTAGGACATGAATGGTTATCTAATCAGAATAAAATCACAATTACAATAGTTTGGTTAGGTCAGATCACCATGGACACCATCCAGTTGGAAAGTTGCAAAACATGCAAGTGAAATTAAATTTCATCATCACCACAACCATTTGAACATGATCATCACCACCATCATCACCACCATCATCATCATCACCACCATGATCACCACCACAATCATCACCACCATCATCACCACTACCACCACCACCATCATCACCACCACCATCATCATCACCACCACCATCATCACCACCACCATCATCACCACAACCATTTGAACATGATCATCATCACCACCATCATCACCACCATCATCATCACCACCATCATCATCACCACCACCATCATCACCATCATCACCACCACCATCATCACCACCACCATCATCATCACCACCATCACATCACCACCATCATCACCACCACCATCATCACCATGCACCACCATCATCACCATGCACCACCGTTGTCATAACCATTGGCATCATTTCACCATCATAATCATCACCATCATCATCACTACCACTATCATCATCATCACCATCATCATAACCATTATTAATACCATCATCATTACCACGACCATCAATATCACCATGATTATTTTATTTTGCTTTCACAGTGATGATCTCATGTGTACATCTGGTGCAACAAATGGTTTGATGATGTTGACATGTACAATGTTTAGACATGGAGATTATGTTTTTGTAGAAGATCCAACATATTTTCTTGCTATCAAAACTTTTCGCGATGATCTTGGCCTGAATGTTGTTTCTGGTCTGTAAAATTTTCCTGACTTTGATAGTTGATAAGTGGTAAAAATTGTCTGCCTCGAACTAGTGTAAATCTGGCCATTAAATCAACGAAAATCCTTACTGTTTTCCAGTTCCAATTGATAATGAAGGTATGAATGTTGAAGCTCTGGAGCAGTTGATTTTGGAGCACCAGGAGAAACTGGGAGAAACCAGCGATAAACGACCATATCGTGCAATGTTATATACCATTCCTGTTTTCAATAATCCAACAACTGTATCTTTATCACCGGGTCAGTCCTACTTGCTTCTCTAATCTTAAACTATGCCGTAACTTTATTTATACTGGATAGATTTATCAGTTCTAAACTGTTCTCCCTAGAGGTCCAGTAAGGGTCATCCCTTATTGATGCAGTGTTACTACAGAAGGAATCCTAAAAGTTCAAAAATCGAAACTAACTTTATTTATTCTGGATAGCTTTATCAGTTCTAAACTGTTATAAGTGCTAATTGCATGTCACAATTTTCTGGCTTTTGTGTATAATTCAATCACCTGTAAAATAGAACAAGTTTCGAACATACTGTTGCCTTTTTAGAGCGCTGTACTGCATTGATCAAAGTGTTAAGAAAATACAACATTGTTGCTGTGTGTGATGATATATACAATATTATCAATTTCGAATCAAAACCACCGCCAAGGCGACTCTTCAGTTATGATAAAAAGTATGTAAAATTAATATGAATGTACAGGTCTCTCTTATTTTAGAATTCTGCAACTAAAGAAATTATACCCCCGTCACAGAGGCATTACACTTCTAATAACTGTCCCAATGTCACATCAACTTTATTACAACATGTATGCAAGACGTACGTGGTGTGCTGACCAAACAGTAAACTTTTTCAATTGCTCATTTCACACTATATTATTGTCTCTACTAGATCTGACAGTGACTACAAAGGACATGTTGTGTCAAATGGAACATTTAGTAAAATAATTGCACCAGGAATGAGACTGGGATGGCTTGAAGCTCCTGAAATTGTTCTTGCCAGACTTATGTTCAGGTTGGTTTAGGAAGCAGGTATTAATTCTTGTTTATACTCAAGACGTTTTTGAAATGTGTAGGGGAATACACATTGATATCATCACTTGCCAGCATCACCAGATTCACGACCATGCATGACCACCATTGTCACCACCATTGCTATCACAACCACCATCATCACCATATCATTACCATTATCATCACCAACATTACCATGACAACCACTATCATCACCATATCATTACCATTATCATCACCATATCATTACCATTATCATCACCAACATTACCATTATCACAACCACCATCATCGCCATATCATTACCATTATCGCCATCATTAACATGACAACCACCATCATCACCATGACAACCACCATCATCACCATGACAACCACCATATCATTACCATTATCATCACCAACATTACCATCATCACAACCACCATCATCACCATATCATTACCATTATCATCACCATCATTAATTAACATGACAACCACCATCATCACCATGACAACCACCATATCATTACCATTATCATCACCATATCACAACCATTATCATTGCCACCACTACCATCATGACAACCACTATCATCACCATATCATTACCATTACCACAACAGCACCATACCACTACCACCATCACAATTGCCACCATCCTTATTGCCACCATCCTTATTGCAATCACCAACTGCCACTACACCCAAGCTATATTTTATCACCATAGTGCAATAGTTGCAAGTGGAGGAGGTGTGAATCAATATACATCTGCTATCATGGGCACAGCTTTGAAGAATGGGATTCTTTCTCCATATTTTACAGATAGTATAAACACTTTCAAAGTAAGTATTTATTGCCAAACATGTGGTCTAGTGTGGGTAGTATTCTACTGACAATCGGCTGACATTGTTTGTGTTTGAACTACCTGAAAAAGATATTTCAAACGTTGTGGGTCCCGCAGACCTGGCAAAAGAGTCCTCTGAAATCTTACCTGAAATATTCAATGTCTACTTTTAGAGAAAAATGGAGTTGATGTGCAATGCCCTTGATAAATATGCAAAGCCATATGTCAAATATAAAAAACCTATGGTAAATTTAATTTTCAATTTCATGCTAAGCATGTGGACATTACTGAAGTCCAGAAATTTCACATACGAGTATGCAAAACTTGCATTTAAAAAAGAGTGTTATTTTATCTTAGGGTGGATTTTTCGTTTGGGTTGAACTGCCACCTGACTGTGATGCAGAAGGTATTGAAGATATTTAAAACAGTACATCCCTCTGATAATTATGACACAAATACTTCCTTGGCGTGGGAGCCAGTTGCTCTCATGAATCAAGACGAAGGGCTAGTCTCTTGAGCACATTTCGTGAGAATGAGGCTACGGGGTCAAGGGTAGACCAATATTTATATCCGACAAATTTCTCTAATACGTTTTTATTCTTCAGCTTTTCAGAAATATTGTATAAAAAACTACAAAGTCAGTGTGCGACCTGGAACATGGTATGTTTCATTTTGTGCAATTTTATGTGTTGAAACATTTTTACTGCATGGTTTCAATAGACCCAATCAACTAGCTGTCCCCATGAGTATGCAGCCAAGTTGTAATTAGGGCCTGAATTTCAGGTTATGTCAGTTTCTACCCTAGGCACATTTTTAGACAACTCACATAGTCACATGTCTAGTTAATGCTGTTCTGATAATGTAAGCATAGAATAGAAGCATGGTATTCAACATGCATAGCACTTTGATTCGATCTATTATTTTTTATTTTCACTTGTAGTTTCTCGCCAAATCGGAATTTTAAAAACTTTGTTCGACTAAGCTTCGCTTTTCTCGAGGAAGAAAGAATAGACGAGGGTATTCAAAGTATGGCAACAGCATTGCAGAATTTTTTAAAACAATAAATATTAATTTATAATGATCGAAATAGCCAGCTCAAAGAGCGGAGTAAAATAACAAAGTAGGGCACATTAGGGCCATTTATACCAGAGTCAATAGAAGCGAGGGACTGGTCTGGAAACTGTATTGTTTATCCAATTAAAACTCGGTCAAAAGAAAAACACGGGTCACGTGACTAAAGTAGGTGCACATATTTGCAATGCAAATGGCGGAAGCACATCAACAAATGGGCTATTCCATTTAATATCCGTACCCCCCTGTCGAGGATACATGTTTTTCATTGTCATACCCCTGAAGAATTCCAAGCTCAAAACTGTTTACCCCTGAAGAATTCCAAAATTCCAAGCTCAAAACTCTTTACCCCTGAAGAATTCCAAGCTCAAAACCTTTTACCCCTGAAGAATTCCAAAATTCCAAGCTCAAAACCCTTTACCCCTGAAGAATTCCAAGCTCAAAACCTTTTACCCCTGAAGAATTCCAAGCTCAAAACCCTTCACCCCTCAAGAATTCCAGGCTCAAAGCCCTTTACCCCTGAAGAATTTCAAGCTCAAAACCTTTTACCCCTGAAGAATTCCAAGCTCAACTGAAAAATTTCAATCTCAAACCTCTTCACCCCTGAAGAATTCCAAGCTCAAAACCCTTTACCCCTGAAGAATTCCAAGCTCAAAACCATTTACCCCTGAAGAATTCCAAACTCAAAACACTTTACCCCTGAAGAATTCCAAGCTCAAAACCCTTTACCCCTGAAGAATTCCAGGGATCCTCGACAGGGGGGGTACGGATATTAAATGGAATAGCCCAATTGTGGCTAAGGGGATTTGTTAGATTTTGTCGATAAATTACTTGGTGGTAATAGCAATATAATCGAAGAAGTCGCAGAAGAAAATGATATTGCAATCGAAGAGGTAAGAATGTAAATTATTTTATTGTTTTAGTATTTCTACTACGCATTTATTAATAGTACTTTAATAGTGAAATGCAATCCCAAATTTATCAATCTTTATATAAAAAGATAAAATATTGCTAGATAATAATGATTTTATCTAACTGGTTAAACAATGATAGCGATAGTTTAATACAGTGTGCAGCTTCTGATACGTACTGTATTAAAAATATAGTATTTGAATAATTGTATATGATAATTGTTTTAATATTGTTTTAGTTAACAAATGAAGCAAAGTATTCTTGTGCTATTTGTCACAAGAAATACAAAACAAAAACTTGGCTCGTGAAGCACACAGAATCTAAACACCAACAAAGTGGCGCAGAGACACAACTCAGAACGAAGCTGGAAGTAGAGATTATCTTCAAGCTGTTAATGGAAGCCCAAAAAGATATTTCAAAAGATGATGCTATTCAACTCTAATTCGTAGTACTGTTGAGAATTACATTTTTGTTGATAAAACTGAACTACTTACCAATGAAATTCAGAAACTGTACAGTTCATTGTGTTCAAATTCAGATGCAGAAAAATTTTATTCACAGTTTTATCAGTTAATTGTCATGGATGCGAAAAAGTATTTTAATTCCTTGGATTTTCCTATGTGCACGCTCCTTGCAACACGGCTTGGAGACAAGATACTAGCCCATTACAGCAGGCCAGCAGAATATAAAATTGTTATTAAACCTGTAACTGAAAGAGACATGCAAGCACTTCAGTATTTATCTGGATATGTCATTCATTCTTTGGTAAGAAAGATCCACAAATTCACAAATTGGAGATCAACTAATGCACAAGATTTTTTGACTTTGCTATATGCTGCAAAGAGTGATGATGTTTCATCTCAGAAACTGATAAGTTGTCAGACAAGGGGTGGTCTCTGGGCTGTCACAGCTGAGTGTCTCCAGGTATTCAAAATTGTGGAAGAAGAATTCCGCAAAGAAACCAGTGCAGTTCATGTAACAAAAATTGATAGCAGCAAAATTTCCGAGGCCCTTCTTCAACGAATTG